GGGATGATACGCTGCTGTCACTTGGCCACACTCCGGGATCGCTCAGCAGCTCCGCCTCCTCGCCGCTGATTGGCCACCGGAACTGTAGCTCAGGAGAGGCACACAGGCGGCCAATCACCGGCGAGGAGGTGGAGCTTGGAGAGGAGGAGCCGAGCGGCAGCGCGCGTACATCAAAGAAGACCGAGGGAGCTGCCGGAGCGAGTGAAGAGAGAGAGCGGCCAGAGAAGGAAGACAGCTGACAGGTAAGTGAGAGAGAGCGAGCCCAGGCTGGAGCAGGGGTCAGCAAAGTAAGTATCATTGGTGTCAGTGGGTAGGAATAGTGCCCCATCATTTGTGTCACTAATACCAACGATGGGGCACTATTCCTCCCCCCACTGACACCAACGATGGGGCACTATTCCTCCCCCCACTGACACACCAACGATGGGGCACTATTCCTCCCCCCACTGACACCAACGATGGGGCACTATTCCTCCCCCCACTGACACCAACGATGGGGCACTATTCCTCCCCCAACTGACACCAACGATGGGGCACTATTCCTCCCCCCACTGACACCAACGATGGGGCACTATTCCTCCCCCCACTGACACCAACGATGGGGCACTATTCTCCTCCCCCCACTGACACCAACGATGGGGCAACAATTCCTCCCCCCACTGACACCAACGATGGGGCACTATTCCTCCCCCCCACTGACACCAACGATGGGGCACTATTCCCCCCCCCACTGACCCCAATGATGGGGCACTTCTATTCCTCCCACTGACACCAATGATGACATTCCTCCCCACACTGACACCAACGCTGGGGCACTATTCCTCCCCCCCCCCCTGACACCAATGATGGGGCATACCCATAACCATATTCCCCCCCCCCACCCCACTGACATCAACATGATGGGGCACTATTCCTCCCACTGACACCAATGATGGGGCAACCCCCCCACTGACCCCAATGATGCGGGCACTATCCCCCACATACACCACCCGTCCCTACACCCCCCCCTGACCCCCAATTTTCCCAAATGGGGCACTAATTCCCCTCCACCACAAACTCCCCAATGATGGGGCACTATTTCCTCCCACTGACACCAATGATGGGGCACTAATTCCCCCCCCACTGACACCAATGATGGGGCACTATCCTCCCACTGACACCAATGATGGTGGCACTATTCCTCCCCACTGACACCAATGATGGGCACTACTTCCCCCCACTGACACCAATGATGGGCACTACTCCCCCACTGACACCAGTGATGGGGCACTATTCCCCCCACTGACACCAAATGTGGGGCACTATTCCTCCCCCACTGACACCAATGATGGGGCCACTACTCCCCCCACTGACACCCAATGATGGGGGCACTACTCCCCCCACTGACACCATGATGGGCACTATTCCCCCACCAAAAAAATGGGGCACACTTGACAAATGATGGTCACTATTCCCCCCACTGACACCAGTGATGGGGCACTACTCCCCCCACTGACACCAGTGATGGGCACTACTCCCCCCACTGACACCAATGATGGGGCACTACTCCCCCACTGACACCAATGATGGGGCACTACTCCTCCCACTGACACCAATGATGGGGCACTACCTCCTCCCACTGACACCACATGATGGAGCACTACCCCTACTCCTCCCACTGACACCAGTGATGGAGCACTACTCCCCCCCCACTGACACCAGTGATGGGGCAACTACTTCCCCCCACTGACACCAATGATTGGAGCACTACTATCCCCCCACTGACACCAATGATGGGGCACTACTCCTCCTCCTGACCCCCACTTGACACCTCCCATGAATGGATGGCACTACTCCTCCCACTGACACCAATGATGTGGCACTATTCCTCCCACTGACACCAGTGATGGAGCCACTACTCCCTCCCACTGACACCAATGATGGGCACTACTCCCCCCCACTGACACCAGTGATGGAGCACTACTCCCCCCACTGACACCAATGATGGGGCACTACTCCCCCCACTGACACAATGATGGGAGCACTACTCTTCCCACTGACACCAATGATGGGGCACTATTCTCCCCACTGACACCAATGATGGGGCACTATTCCTCCCACTGACTCCAACGATGGGGCACTATTCCTCCCACTGACACCAACGATGGGGCACTATTCCTCCACTGACACCAACGATGGGGCACTATTCCTCCCACTGACACCAACGATGGGGCACTATTCCTCCCACTGATACCACAACGATGGGGCACTATTCCTCCCACTGACACCAACGATGGGGCACTATTCCTCCCACTGACACCAACGATGGGGCACTATTCCTCCCACTGACACCAACGATGGGGCACTATTCCTCCCACTGACACCAACGATGGGGCACTATTCCTCCCCCACTGACACCAACGATGGGGCACTATTCCTCCCACTGACACCAACGATGGGGCACTATTTCCTCCCACTGACACCAACGATGGGGCACTATTCCTCCCACTGACACCAGTGATGGGGCACTATTCCTCCCACTGACACCAGTGATGGGGCACTATTCCTCCCACTGACACCAGTGATGGGGCACTATTCCTCCCACTGACACCAGTGATGGGGCACTATTCATCCACATCTGACATCAGTGATGGGGCACTATTCCTCCCACTGATACCAACGATGGGGACTATGCATCCCACTGACATCAGTGATGGGGCACTATTCCTCCCCACTGACACCAGTGATGGGGCACTATTCATCCCACTGACATCAGTGATGGGGCACTATTCCTCCCACTGATACCAACGATGGGGCACTATTCCTCCCACTGATACCAACAATGGGCACTATTCATCCCACTGACATCAGTGATGGGGCACTACTCCTTCCACTGACACAATGACATGGCACTACACTCCTCCCACTGCAAAATTACAGTTATGAAGTAGCAATGAAAATAATTTTATGGTTAAGGGTCACCACAACATGAGGAACTGTATTAAGGGGTCGCGGCATTAGAAAGGTTGAGAACCACTAATCTAGGAGGAAGGGTTGAGTGATACAAAAGGTAATTGCTGTGGGGGATGAGCTGATGGAGGAAATAAAAGTCAATTTACCAGTTAGAAGTAGGATAGACTTCTTTAAAGAGAAAGATTTTCAGAGATTGTCTAAGGTGGATAGATTAAGAGATAGCTGGAGAGATTGAGGTAGGGAGTTCCATAGGATGGGAGAAGTTCGGGAGACATCCCAGAGGCGAGCATGGGAGGAGATGACACGGGAACTAGAGAGCAGAAGGTCTTGGGAGGATCGAAGAGAGTGGTTTGGTTGATATTTTGAGATCAGGTTGGTGATGTAGCTGGGGGCTTTGTAAGTTGTTAGTATTTTGAATTTTATTCGTTGGGCGAGTGGAAGCCAGTGGAGGGATTGGCAGAGAAGGGTAGCAGACACTGAACAGTTGGTAAGGTGGATGAGCCTGGCAGCAGCATTCATGATGGACTGGAGGGGGGATAGCCTATGTAAAGGTAAGCCAATGAAGAGGGAGTGGCAGTAGTTGAGGCGAGAGATAACAAGGGAGTGAATTAGTAGCTTTGTGGTATCATTGGTTTAAAAGGGTCGTATTCTGGAGATGTTGCGGAGGTTGAGGCGGCATGATTTGGACAGGGATTGGATGTGGGCCTGAAAGGATAGTTCAGAATATAGGGTTTCCCCTAGTACCCTGTCATGTGCGGATGGGTTGATAGTGGTTCTATTGATCGTGACCAAGAAGTCAGGGAAAGAGGTACGTGGGGGAGGAAATATTATGAGCATACATCTGCAAAAACTGTCCTTAGCTGGTAAAAAGTGCCTTTATTGGAATCTGTAAAATTGCTGAGATGTAATTCTTGGTCCTTTTTCTACAATAAACCTTTTTATTATTAAAAAAAAACTTCAGCTTAAAGAAGAACAGAGTCCTGGAAGTGATAGTTTGCCCCTTACAGAGCCCTATCTCAACATCATCGAGTCTGTCTGGGATTACATGAAGAGACAGAAGGATTTGAGGCAGCCTATGTCCACAGAAGATCTGTGGTTAGTTCTCCAAGATGTTTGGAACAACCTTCCTGCTGAGTTCCTTCAAAAACTGTGTGCAAGTGTACTTAGAAGAATTGATGCTGTTATGAAGGCAAAGGGTGGTCACACCAAATAGTGATTTGATTTTAATTTCTCTTTTGTTCATTTACTTGATAAGAAATCTCTCTAATAAGGACACATATGCCGACAGAAGCTCTAACACTGCCTTTCCTACTACTGATATGGGAAAGATGAGTCCAGTGACTGTTCCTGAAGGTCCTTTTCATTTCAGTTTCTCCCCTATCTCCCCTATAGTAAATCTTTTGTTAATATTGGGAATTATAGCTGCAGACTATGGATATTGTCTTACTATCACTGTCTTTTAATAAGCCCTTCCTTTAGATTGCAAGCTCCATGAGCAGGGCCCTCACATTCCTTCTGTACCAGGGGCGGACTAACCATTTGGAAACTCGGGCACCGCCCGAGGGCCCGGGGTCAGTAGGGGGCCCCATGAGATGCCCCTGGTGCCTTTTTCATAGGCTTTTTTGAGTTTGGGCAAGGACGCAGGGGCCCCATGATCCCCTATTGCCCGGGGGCCCCATGAGTTGTCAGTCCGCCCCGTGCTGTAATGAAAGTATTGTAATTGTACTGTCTCCCTTACATTGTAAAGCGCTGAGCAAACTGTTGGTGCTATATAAATCCTGTATAATAATAATGTCACATACTGTACATGCCTGCAATACTGCAGATATCTCAGTGAATGAATTGGCACTGATTCTAATTATAATTAGTATTCGTTTTTGTCAGTAATCCTTTGTACTGCAACTTTGTTGTCAGTCTCTCGTACATTTTCAAGGTGAACACAAAGCAATGAGCACTTTCCTTGATGATGTGATCTGCTGACTGATGATTCCATTTTCCTTATATATTTAAATTCCTTTGCAATATCTTTTTTTTTTTGCTTGTTTCAGGAACAAGAATGGATTTAAGAAGCGGAAGCTGACAAAGTATGTTTCTTTCGTACTGTCACATGCAGTTTTTTATCTGTTTATTTATACCAATGTATTTACTAAAGCTGCGCAAAGTTTGGGCAGGTTTGTGTTTATTGAATTCAGTCAGGTCAGTTGCTGGTGAGTGAAGACCAGTTCTGCCCTATCAATTAGGCCTAATAGACCTTTTCAAAGAATTTGAGATAGAAGGGTTGTCAGCTTCATTTTTTACACACATAGCCATTTTCACAACAAATACTTGTTAGAAATGTGTAAGGCGGAATATTTAGTATTGCTACACTTTGGCATCTATTTATCAATGTTTTTACCCAAGATTCACATAATCTGCTCCCAAATTCACATATTTTCCTAATTTGTCTGAATCTGGTATGAAACAATAATAAATAAGCCCCTTAATTTGCAATTTTTCAAATGGTTTCTCAGTCCTATGAAAGGTGAACTACATCTTGTTGAAACATCTTTTTACGATTGCTACTGATTTGTAAGTCACTGATGCTCCACATCTACTTATACACTTGTTTAAAGTTACATGCTCTATTCTGTAAAACCTTTAAAAACAGATTGAAAGAGAAACATCTGTTTACAGGGGTGTCCAACCTATGGTCCTAAACGGCTATGAGTGTGGCCCAACACAAAAATGATAAACTTACTTTAAAATGTTGATTTTTGTGGTGGGATTTTTTTGTAAAAATGTGTTTACACTTGGCTTACACAGGCAGCCAAAGAAAAAATTGAGAGTGTCTTTTTCCTGGACTTTTATGAGTTTTATCCTCCCAGAGCAAAGTCTCCCACTCTTCACAATCACACCTTATTCTTGTCATTAGTTTTCAGCAGCACCTATATTTGTGAGCAACTATTTTCAAGAATGAAGCACATGGGGGCAAAGGGCAAAATTAGAACCAAAATATCTCATGAGCAGCTGGTGAATTCATTGAGAATTGCTACTACATCCATTGAACCAGATATTGATGTGTTAGTTTATCAAAAACAGTGTCAAATATTGCACTAGTTTTATGTTGTCCTCTTAAACATCAAAAAATATTACAAAAAATTAAGTTTTATTACTCAGATAGGTACATTATCTATATCAGCAATCGTTACCTTGTGATCTGCCTTTCTTTTTCTGCTCATCAGCTATCTTTATTGTTAGTGTATTTTATATGTGGCCCAAGATGCTTCCTCTTCTTCCAATGTGGCCCAGAAAAGCCAAAAGGTTGGACATCCCTGGTTTACAGCAATGTATATTTTCACTTGACTTTAAGGGCCAGTTTACCGGTGCATTTTTGGTGTGTTTTGGTGCGTTTTTTATGTTTTATCATGTTCTAGTACAGTGCAGTGCAGAAAAAAATGCAGCATGTTTTTTTTTTCTGGAACTGGAACACACTGGAATTGACTGCACTTCTGTGTGAACTATGCCCTATGCCACTGAAAACCATATAACTTACTATACATTTCTGTTTTTGATGCATAAAAATGCACTGGACTGCATGTGGTGTGAACTGGCCCTTACACTTGTACTTTTATTGGTAGTTCAGTACTGTTTGATTTATAAACACGCTGCTACTGTGCAGATTGGAAGCAGGGAGTCCAGGGAGTCGGCAGCCAAGAGAGGTTAACACTGAGAGGTGGGCATGAAATCCAGAATTGGTCAGGTTCTTTGGACTGCACTAGGTAGCTTTTAGGGGTAGGAAATTGCAATACAAATTGCAGCTTCAGCGGAAAAAAAAAGTTAGCTAGACTTGAGCTTTAAAGGCATGCATACAAGATGATCGTGTGGCCAGGGGTTTGGGGCACACAGCAGGACAACAAAGATTGGAGGAACTAGGGAGAGGAGATATGGCTGCAGAATTTTGAGAGATCTACAAGGGGCCATGTAAAAGTGATGGTTATACAGTTCTGTGGTAGTGATACAGACAAGAAATGTGCCTACTGCCCTTCCCTGCTCTAACTAACCTTATAATTCCTATATCGGATTGTGAACTTGTTTTATGTTTGTAATTCACTCATACTATTTAATGTAATTTACTTTATATTATGTCAGCCCATTAATAAAATAAGATGTTGATATTGTATAACATTGTTATATGTCAATTCTTTTCCTTTTTCATTTCCATATTGAAGCCCAGTTCAGTTGGACGACTTTGATTCTTACATGGGAGATATGTCAAAGGATTCTGACTATAAATTTTCTCTGCAGTTTGAGGTGAGTTATATCAAAGATACATTTTATAAATATTCATTAACATTGTTTATTTTATGCTTAAAGTGATTGTAACAAATATATTTTTTTAAAATAACAAACATGTTATACTTACCTGCTCTGTGCAATAGAATTGCACAGAGTGGCCTGAATCCTCCTATTCTCAGGTCCCCCGCTGGCAATCCTTGCTCCTCCTCTTCTCAGTGTACCACCATAGGAAGCTTCTTCCTATGGTGGCACATCTGCGGGCTTGATCCTGAGCCACGGTGCTCGTGTCCATAAACATAGACAGCGTGACTTTGCTCTACCCCCTGCTCCCTCCTCACAGGATTTGACTGACAGCAGTAGGAGCCAATGACTTATGAGAGCGGGGACAGGCACTACAAATGGGCACAGTTCTGTATTGAGTGAGGACTCAGGTAATTATGAGAGGGTGACAGGTACTGGAATATTTTTACCTTAATGCAGGAAATGCATTAAGGTAAAAATGTTTAGACATTTTTTTAGACAAAAACCATCACGAAAAAACAGAGTTTATGGACAGCATTGCCTGTGTACTGTGTATTGCTTGTCATGATCCACCTCAGATATCAGCCCAGACCACCTGTCACCCATGGTTTGTGTGTATGTTTAGGACTATGCAAGTCTTCAAATTCTGTGATCTGGGAAAAAAACAGATGCAACTACATTCACCTACATATGTGCAGCTTGCATGAGTCAAAACAACTTCTAAAGTACATAATGTGATCTTATAGGTCACAGCCAACTCTGGTCTTGACTGAAGCCTTTAAACCCTCTTTTTAATTATGTGTTATTGGCAGCTAATAATTTTTTTGCTTGTATAAACAAATGAAAAAGAGGTATTAGATTATATTATTTTCTCAAGAGCATGGAGGAGATTCCAGGAGATAGGCAGTTACTCTAGGAGAACTGGACAGGACTGTAGAAGGTCCTTAACTCATCAGCAGGACTGGTATCTGCTCTTTTGTCCAAGGAGGAACAGAATGAGCACTGCCAGAGCCCTACAAAATTACCTCCAACAGGCCACTGGTGTAAATATCTTTGTCCAAACAAGCAGAAACATACTTCATGGGGGTGGCCTGAGGGCCCGACATCCTGTAGTGGGCCCTGTGCTCACTGCTTAGCACCATAGAGCTCGATTGGTATTTGCAATTGAACACCAGAGTTGGCAGGTCTGCAACTGGCACCCTGTGCTCCTCACAGATGAGAGCAGGTTCACCTTGATCACATGTGACAGACATGAAAGGGTCAGGAGAAGCCGTGGAGAACGTTATGCTGCCTGTAACATCGTTCAGCATGACTGTTTTGGTGATGGGTCAGTGATGGCCTGGGGAGGCATATCCATGGAGGGACGCACACTCCTCTACAGGCTAGACAATGGCATTCTGACTGCCATTAGGTATCGGGATGAAATACATGGACCCATTGTCAGACCCTATGCTGGTGCAGTGGGTCCTGGGTTCCTCCTTGTGCATGACAGTGCCCTGCCTCATGTGGCGAAAGTATGCAGGCAGTTCCTGAAGAATGAAGGAATTGATCCCAATAGAATACCTTTGGGATATCATGTTTTGGTCCATCCGATGCTGCCTGGCTACGCATCAGACTGTCCAGGAGCTCAGTAATGCCGTGGTCCAGATCTGGGAGGAAATACCCCAGGACTTCATCCATCGTCTTATTAGGAGCATGCCCCAATGTTGTCAGGTATGCATACAAGCACATGGGAGCCATACAAACTACTGAGTACCATTTTGAGTTGCTGCAATGAAATTTCCACAAAATGGACTAGCCTGCTACATTATTTTTTCACATTTTCAGGGGTGCCTTTGATTTCAGTCTACTGTAGATTTATAATTTTCATTTCCATCAAACAATAGGGCATCCTTACGTTCCTAACACATTACTCAGTCCATATCAGTATAGATATCCTGCATGATATTTTTCCCCATTGAGATCTGATGTGTTTTCAAAGTGTTCCTTTAACCACTTGCCCTCCTGAGGATTTACCCTCCTTCCTGACCAGGCCATTTTTTGCGTTACTGCACTGCGTTACTTTGACTGGCAATTGCGCAGTCATGCAACGCTGCACCCAAATTAAATTTACAACCTTTTTTCCCATGAATTGAGCTTTCTTTTGGTGGTGTTTGATCACTTGTGCAGTTTTTACTTTTTGCGACTAGACAAAGACCGAAATTTTGAGAAAAAAAAAACAATATTTTTGACTTTTTGCTATTAAACATGTCCAGTAAAAAAATTAAAAAAACTAATTTCATCATAAATTTACACCAAAATGTATTCTGCTACATGTCTTTGCTAAAAAAAAATTAATTGGTTTATGTGAAAGGTATGGTGTTTACAAATGGCGGTATAGATACAAGAATTTTTTTTTTATACTAGTAATGGCAGTGATCAGCGACTTATAGCTGAACTGCGGGACTGAGGCGAACAGTCTGACACTGGGAACTGGCTTGGTGTCACTGACATCCCCAGTGACACCAATACAGTGCAAAAAAAAAAAAACGGGCACTGTACTAATGGCACTGGGCAGGAAGGGGTTAACATGAGGGGCAATCAAAGGCATAACTGTGTAGGGAGTGTTTTTTGTCTGTGTGCTTCACTGTAATCACACTGCTCTGGATGGCTGTGCTGCCCAGAAATGCGAAGTCACGTATATATACATGATTTTGCTCACCTCTGCCACCCTGTAGCAGCATATCTGCTAGAGGGCGGCGGGAAAGCAGTTAATTTTTTTGAGCAGTGTGTGTATGTATATATACTGTATTAAAAAATCTTTTTTTTTTCTTTTTTTATCAATGATCACACAATCTCTGTTCTCAGCTGCATAAGAAACTTAGAGAGCTAGGGGGTAAAGAAACAACAGTATTCTTCCCAGTGACTGGCTATGCATGGGGGCGTGTGACTGCAAGTCTGACTATTGGAGAACAGGCAGGCTGTTCTCCCAGCCCAGCAAGAAAGCTGACCACACTGAGATGGATGTGCTCTCATGCCTTGTTGTGGTCAGTTTTAAATAAAAAATCAGGGAAACTAGCAGGATCACCATGTATTTCATATTCTTTAAGGGCTCTTGAATGAAAATAGTTGACTAAATGATGGCAAGAAAGAATGTTCTAATGAATGAGTTTACTACAAGCATTTGAACATTTCTCCGTCTACTGTATTTCATTTTGCAGGAACTGAAAATGATTGGTTTGGATATAGAGCATTGTGCAGCAGACCTTCCAGCCAACCGCTGCAAGAATCGCTACACAAACATTTTGCCGTGTAAGTATATAGAGTCATACCTTGTCATGGTAAAATTATGTTGGTTCTGCAGGAATTTGTGTATACTGATGGAAATAAGGGCCATTATAGTAAACCTGCATGGGCAAAGTTCAGGTTCTCTTTAAATTTGCTCTACAGGCCATAAAACAAATTTTCTCTTTTCCTTTTCAGATGATTTTAGCAGAGTAAAACTTGTTTCCACAGATGAGGAAGAAGGAGCAGATTACATCAATGCAAACTTTATTCCTGTAAGTGTTAAACCAAAAATGAAAACTGAATGCACAAGAATTCCCGTGAAGAATTTTCTGAAACATGTGCAAGGCTTTAGGGAGATCAAACTTTTTATTCAAATATTTCTAACAATATTTTAAAGAATTTCAGTGTTTACTATAGTATTAATATAGTTGATTCTATATGAATAGATACGGGGAGTGAGTTATAGTGAATGACTGGAGTGGGCTATAAGGGTCCATGCACACTGGTCCTAAAAAAGCCGAAAAAAAACCTCTTATCTAGAGCATTTCTGTACAAGTGTTTAGGAGCATTTACCAGTTTTTTTTTTTCTGCTCGAAAACTCCTCACAAAAAAACGCAAACCAGAAGGTTTTTTTCTGCCTCTAAATGCTGAGCTTAAAATACGTCTTTAAACATCCTAATGTGCAAGAACACATAGGATACAATTGAGCTGCTTCTACAGGCAAACTGCACAAGTCTTGTAGAAGTAGCATTTTTAAGCCCAATGTATATGGACCCTTAGAAAAGAATAAAGTGATAAGAGGGAGAATACTAGCCAGTATGTAGGCAAGTGCAATCTCTGTTCTACAATGTAGGTGCCACTCGGCTGGAACGGTACTGCAGGTAGAGAGGAAGTCAAGGGAAACCTGGTTTCTCTATGGTTTCCTTGGTACCCTAGGCAGCGTTCTGCTTGCCTATGCTGCCCCTAGATGACCCAGGTGGCCATCTTTTGTCAGCATAGTCTTTTTAAGTGCCTGCCCCCAAGCTTTGGTGAGCTTTCTGGTGAGTAGATAGCATAGGGACTGTGCACCCATCTGTCAGGAAGAGTGTCTAGAGGCAGGGAAAGGTACAGGATGAGTAGGGACATGTCATCCTACATCAAAATCCTCTCCATTGGGCTCTGATTGGCCAGGTCGCACTCCGCCCTCAGAGACAGACGCTGTTGGTGCATCAGAATCTACTACAACCTATACGTCTGCATAGAACTGTGAGTGTTCCCAGCTGAGCCATTTGTATCTTTGGGCCTTTCATTCAATACGAGTTTTCTTAATTGCAACCGGACTTAGTGTATTTTGTCCTGCCGCTGCACCATGCTGCACCTGCTCACAAGCAGGCTGGGACTTTGTGGTGCTATGAGTTATGGCACAGTGAATCCTCTTGTGTGGAGAACAGTTGTTGGCCAAGGGAGGTGCACAAGCCCTGTGAGGGAATATTTATATAATCAAAGGCATGTCTATGAGGTACGCTGTATGTCTGGATTGTGGCAGTAATGTCTGTCTGACAGATTTTTTTGTCTGTCTTCGCAGGGATACAGCTCTGTACAGGAATACATAGCCACGCAGGGGCCCCTGCCAGATACCCGCAATGACTTTTGGAAGATGATTCTGCAGCAGAAATCCCAAGTCATTGTAATGCTGACTCAGTGCAATGAAAAGAGACGGGTAAGTGGATTCATTGGAGCCAACATTGAAGAATAAACCAGAAACATACTGTTGTGCTCAAAAGTTTGTATACCTGGCAGAAATTGTGAAAGTTTAGCATTTATATTGAAAATATGACTGATCATGCCAAAAAACTTGCCTCTTGTTTAAGGATAGTGATCATATGAAGCCATTTATTATCACATAGTTGTTTGGCTCCTTTTTAAATTATAATGATAACAGAAATCACCCAAACAGCCCTGATCAAACGTTTACATACCCTGGAATGTATAATTTGATTAAAAAAGGAGCCAAACAACTATGTGATAATAAAATGGCTTCATATGATCACTATCTTTAGATAAAAGACAATATTTTGGCATGATCAGTAATATTTTCAATATAAATACCAATGTTTTATGATTTCTGCCAAGGTATGCAAACTTTTGAGCACATCTGTATCTCGTGTTTGAAGGTTCTTAGCAATAGAAGAGTTTTGGCAGGTTTATGATGCTGAGAAGTGACCCAATTTGCCACCATTCTTTCCTTATCTAGAAAGCAGACGATTTTGTGCCAATTCTGGAGAATGATGGATATAGAAGAGGATGTAAACAGGGACTGAGGGTGATCAAATTTAGTGAGGGTGGAATAAGATGATGATAGGATGAAGTGACTTGAGGGTGCAATGAGATGAGGGTGGATTTAAGAGGATGCAGTGAGGTGAGAAAAGACAGGGTGAGGTAAGATGACAATGGAATGAGGTGAGATGAAGATGGAGTGAGAGGATATATGGAGAGAGGTTAGATAAGCGTAGTGTGAGGTGAGATGAGGATAGAGTGAGGTAAAGTGAGGATGGAATAAGATGAGATAAAGATGGCATGGGGTATGATGAGGATGGAATGAGGTGAGATGAGGATGGTGTAAGGTGAGCTAAAATGAAACAAGGTGAGATGATGGAGCAAGGTAAGATGAGGATGTAGTGAGGAAATATGAGAATGGAATGAGGTGAGATGAGGATGGAGTAAGGTGAGCAGAAGGCTAAACAAGGTGAGATGATGGAGTAAGATGAGGATGTAGTGAAGAAATATGAGAATGGAATGAGGTGAGATGAGGATGGAGTAAGGTGAGCTGAAGATGAAACAAGGTGAGATGATGGAGCAAGTAAGATGAGGATGTAGTGAGGAAATATGAGAATGGAATGAGGTGACATGAGGATGGAGTAAGGTGAGCTGAAGATGAAACAAGGTAAGATGAAGGAGCAAGGTAAGATGAGGATGTAGTGAGGAAATATGAGAATGGAATGAGGTGAGATGAGGATGGAGTAAGGTGAGCTGAAGATGAAACAAGGTAAGATGATGGAGTAAGGTAAGATGAGTATGTAGTGAGGAAATATGAGAACTGAATGAGGTGAGATGAGGATGGAGTAAGGTGAGCTGAAGATTAAACAAGGTGAAATGATGATGGAGTGAGGTAGGATGAGGATGTAGTGAGGAAATATGAGGATGGAATGAGGTGAGATGAGGGTGGAATGAGGTGAGATGAGGATGGAGTGAAGATAGATGAGGTGATGATGGAGTGAGGTGATGAGGAGGACTGAATTAGAAAGATGGAAGAAGGGAATTTTCCTGGGAGAGTATTGTACTATAATAAAGCATATTCTGCATTTCATACTTAGATCTGGACTCTCATTTTATGAACAGTAGGTGTCAAGGTTTTGTTTTATATGTTAGCTTTTCGTTTGCAGGAATTGGTATAGGAATCAGTCACAGCTCCCTCAGCTGTTTCTCTGAATAACACACCAGAGATTAATAACACCAAGGTTGTAACACATCGGTTGTAAATCTCACCAGGGGTAAATCACACCTGGGGGTAAATCACAGTTTAGTTGCTCATTATTATAAAATATAAATAACCTTAATATTATGTTATTTATTTCTATTATATTACTATTTCTGATAAATGGAAATCAGTGAAAAGTTTCTGCTTTTGGAGATGTTGAATAGTAAGAAAATTATTATGGGCGTCTGATGTGTTCATCATGCCGCGCCGTACATGTCTGTTATAACATAATTATGTTAATATTTCAATATTAAATATGTTAATATTTTTATTATGAATAATATAATTATTCATAATTTGGTATACCTTCTGTCTTACAGATAAAGTGTGACCATTACTGGCCCTTTACTACAGAACCTGTCAGCTATGGGGACATCATGGTGGAGATGGTATCAGAGGAGATGAGCAGCCAGACTGGGCATTCCGTGTATTTCGGGTATCACAGGTAAGATATGTGTTATGTCCACACTGCATTGTGCATTAGAAAAAAAACTAAATATAATTTATTAGAGTAAATCAAGTAAAAGTAACCGCTGTCTACATTTCCGTGGTGTGCAATTTGACAAGTTTGACTTGAATTATACCCCTGTTGCTACCGCCCACCAATCCCAACCTATAAAAGTGAATGGGGTCACTCTGCAAGCACCCAGCAACTGTGTGCAATGCTTTCAGTTGTGAGGTACTTGTGCAGGGTCCAAGAGTTTAAAGCAGGTGGTGAGGAGGTGGCACAATGCCCTCAGAGAGCACAACATGTGAAAAAACCCAAAGAGCCTGCAGCAATTTTAAAAATATGCTCCTGGCCTCATTTGTTCATTGGGGGCCTGGGGCAGAAAGGGCATTATTCATTGACTTTCGGGAGCAAGTGGAGTAATCTCCTACATTGTGATTCCTGATAATTAAAGTCCCTCTTTTAATGGCTCCTGTCTTCCTTTGGGCACCCCTATTGAATTGACAGGGCTGGGCACATTACTTGCTGCCCTAATTGTAGGTGCTCTGATTGTAGGTGCCAGATGACTAAAAAAAAGAAAAGAAAACAAGTAGATTAATTGGCTCCTGTCTAAATTGGCCCTATCATGTGTATGTATGTGAGATAGAGACCTTAGATTGTAAGCTCTTTGTGAGCAGAGACTAATGTGAATGTATCATATATACAGTAAATGTAAAGCACTGTGTAAATTGATGGGGTTATATAAGTACCTGTAATAATAAGAAATGGTGCTTCATATATTATTACAATATTGTCCAGTGACAGTTTGCTGCTATGACACATGACCGCTAAGCTGTATGTACCCAATTCTGACATTCTTATTCATTCAAAGGAGAAATATGTTTGACATTTTTAACACTTTTTTACTAACAAATACCTTACAAAAACCCAAGGTCAAAGATTGTCAAGTTGATCAATTATGTATTAAATATGGAAGGTACTAAAAATTAAAGACATTTTCAAGGACAAATCTTTAAATCCAGAGCCTTTCTGTCAATTATAGTGGGCAGCCTGTCCTGTTGCTTTCTCACTATCCATCTTGTCTTCCACCGTCCCTGCCTCACTAAGAATCTTACTGTCTCACTATCCACCCTGCCCTGCTACTTTCCCTGTCTCACTAATCCACCCCACCATGATCTTTCCATTGCCTCTCTGTCCATCCTACACTGCTACCTTCCCTGCCTCATTGTACACCCTGCTCTGCTACCTTCCTGTCTCACTATCCACACTACTCTGCTACCTTCCCTGCCTTACCATATTCCCTACCCTGCTACTTTCCCTTTCTCACTATTTATTCTACCCTGCTACCTTTCCTGCCTCACTATCCATTCTACTCAGCTATCTATCCTTCCTCACTATTCACCCTGCCTTGTTACCTTCTCTTCCTCGCTATCCACCCTGTCCTTCTACCTTCCCTGCCTCACTATCCACCCTGCCTTTTTACCTTCCCTGTCTCACTATCTGCCACCATGCTGCCATCACAATGAGCTCTTTTTGTTGTTTTTGATCTTCAGGCAGATGACGCTCAGCATGTTCTGCATTTTAACTTCACTGCGTGGCCAGACCATGGCGTCCCAGCAAGCAGTGCAGCAGAAAGCATCCTGCAGTTTGTATATATGGTGAGACAGAAAGCAGCCAAAACCAAAGGGCCAATCACAGTGCACTGCAGGTAACAACAGCCCTTCATACCCACTTCTTTTAAACTTTTGTCTTCAGGAAGATTGTTTTTCTGTTTAATTATTGAAAAGTCTGGTTAGTGACAATCTGCAACTCTACAAGTTGTATGAATTCTTTTTCTGAGTTTCCATCTTGTGGACTCCAGACTCCATAAAATGAACATGAAATATGTGGGCTGCCATTGCTAAGTTTTCCTGAAAAGGCCAAGTACCTGGCTGTCATACTGACCCCTTCTGCCACCAATACCTGCAATCTCTAACCCAGAACAAGTACAATATGTAGATCAGGATGTGTTTTAATTCAATGACTTTGCTGATCTGCATATGTGTTGCTGGTCAGTGATTCAATAAGCCAAGCAACTAGCTTTTAAAGAGAGATCAGCGATGGCAGTCATATTACTGTCAGTAAAGGTTTCCTGTAATTAGAATAATGAATACAGAGACTCAAACTCCAAGTAAAAAATGTAATCAGCTTTATTTTCCTTCCCCAGATTGCCAGATCCGGTCCTTCATTATAGACTGTATTACACAATATCACACTGCATGATTTAATATGAGGCCAACATTTTGGTAAAATTGATTTCATAGTGAATTTGCCAATTTTATGTTCCAAAATTTCAGAAAAATGTCACATTACGTTTGCCATGAGGCGCTGCAAGGTGAATTAAAAAACAAACAAAAAAACCCAAAAAAATTAAGACAAAGGCTTCACATTGCAAACAAGGCCATTGTACCCTTGTTACTCTCCGAGAAAACTTTGCAATGGATGATGCTTTCTCTGTTCAGCTTCTTCTGCAATGAATGGACCTTTGTTATGTTTCCCTCTCTAATCCTAACCCTATATTATGTATCCCTCTTACCTTAGTCCTTCTCTAACCCTAACCCTGTTTTGTTGTGTGTCCCTCTCTAACCCTATGTTGTATTATGTATCCCCTTCTACACCTAACCCTATGTTGTGTTATGTATCCCTCTAACCCTAACCCTAACTCTTCTCTAACCCTGTTCTGTATTGTGTTATGTATTCCCCTCTAACCTCAACCCTATGTTATGTATTCCCCTCTAACCCTATGTTACAGTATCTCACAGAAGGGAGTACGTCCCTCACATTTTTGTAAATATTTTATTATACCTTTTCATGTGACAACACTGAAGAAATGACACTTTGCTACAATGTAAAGTAGTGAATGTACAGCTTGTATAACAGTGTGAATTTGCTGTTCCCTCAAAATAACTCAACACACAGCCATTAATGTTTAAACTGCTGGCAACAAAAGTGAGTACACCCCTAAGTGAAAATGTCCAAATTGGGCCCAAAGTGTCATTATTTTGTGTGGCCACCATTATTTTCCAGCACTGCCTTAATCCTCCTGGGCATGGAGTTCACCAGAGCTTCACAGGTTGCCACTGAAGTCCTCTTCCACTCCTCCATGACGACATCATGGAGCTGGTGGATGTTAGAGACCTTGCGCTCCTCCACCTTCTGTTTGAGGATGCCCCACAGATGCTTAATAGGGTTTAAGTCTGGAGACATGCTTGGCCAGTCCATCACCTTTACCCTCAGCTTCTTTAGCAAGGTAGTGGTCGTCTTGGAGGTGTGTTTGGGGTTGTTATCATGTTGGAATACTGCCCTGTGGCCCAGTCTCCAAAGGGAGGGGATCATGCTCTGCTTCAGTATGTCACAGTACATGTTGGCATTCATGGTTTCCTCAATTAACTGTAGCTCCCCAGTGCTGGCAGCACTCACGCAGCCCAAGACCATGACACTCCCACCACCATGCTTGACTGTAGGCAAGACACACTTGTCTTTGTACTCCTCACCTGGTTGCCGCCGCACACGCTTGACACCATCTGAACCAAATCAGTTTATCTTGGTCCCATCAGACCACAGGACATGGTTCCAGTAATCCATGTCCTTAGTCTGCTTGTCTTCAGCAAACTGTTTGCGGGCTTTCTTGTGAATCATCTTTAGAAGAGGCTTCCTTCTGGGATGACAGCCATGCAGACTAATTTGATGCAGTGTGCTGCGTATGGTCTGAGCACTGATAGGCTGACCCCCCACCCCTTCAACCTCTGCAGCAATGCTGGCAGCACTCATACGTCTATTTCCCAAAGACAACCTCTGGATATGACGCTGAGTATGTGCACTCAACTTCTTTGGTCGACCATTGTGAGGCCTGTTCTGAGTGGAACCTGTCCTGTTAAACCGCTGTATGGTCTTGGTCACCATGCTGCAGCTCAGTTTTCAGGGTCTTGGCAATCTTCTTATAGCCTAGGCCATCTTTATGTAGAGCAATAATTCTTTTTTTCAGATCCTCAGAGAGTTCTTTGCCATGAGGTGCTATGTTGAACTTCCAGTGACCAGTATGAGAAAGTGAGAGCGATAACACCAAATTTAACACACCTGCTCCCCATTCACACCTGAGACCTTGTAACACTAGCGAGTCACATGACACCGGGGAGGGAAAATGGTTAATTGGGCCCAATTTGGACATTTTCGCTTAGGGGTGTACTCACTTTTGTTGCCAGCAGTTTAGACATTAATGGCTGTGTGTTGAGTTATTTTGAGGGGACAGCAAATTTACACTGTTATACAAGCTGTACACTCACTACTTTACATTGTAGCAAAGTGTCATTTCTTCAGTGTTGTCACATGAAAAGATAGAATAAAATGTTTACAAAAATGTGAGGGGTGTACTCACTTCTGTGAGATACTGTATGTATTCCCCTGTAACCCTAACCCTATCTTATGTATTCCCCTCTAACCCTAACCCTATGTTGTGTTAAGTATCCTCCTATACCCCTAACCCTGTGTTGGTTTATGTATCTCTTTCCGACATTAACCCTTTATAGTGTTAGATATCCTCCTCTAACCCAAACCCTACAGTATGTTATGTATCCCTCTCTAACCGTAACCCTATGTTGTATTATGTATCCCCCTCTACTTTTAATGCTATGTTATATGCACCTCATGTCACCTTTTTATTCAGATTTTAATGAGTAGATTTCAGTTCCATTGATAACAAGACCATTCAAGACAATAGCAGAGAACACAATTTTTCTTCATGTTTTTGGGTATTAATTGAGTCAGAATAGCAACTTAAAAAGAGGCAGTAGCGCAAACATGTGTTAAAAGTGCAAACGTATCTTTTTTCACCCTTTTATTCCCTAACAAAGCAAAAATAACATTCAAAAAACAAAATGCACTGTACTATATGTGGTATTATAGATTGTATGTATGTATGTACATACTGTACCACATGTGATTTAATACACTGTATGTATAAACTACACAACACGTGATATTATAGATTGTATTTATATACTGCACCATGTATGATACTATAGATTGTATGTACAGTATGTATGTAATGCAAGTGTGTTATATTATGGATTGTACAGTATGTATGCATGTACTGCACCACATGTGGTATTATAATTGGTATGTATATAGTTTACATTATGCAGTATAACATATTGTATGTATATTATATTGACAAAAGTATTTGGACGCCTGCCTTTACTCACATATGGAGTTTAATGGCATCCCAGTCTTAGTCTGTAGGGTTCAATATTGAGTTGGCCCACCCTTTGCAGCTATAACAGCTTAAATTTTTCGGGAAGGCTGTGCACAAGGTTTAGGAGTGTGTCTATGGGAATGTTTGACCATTCTTCCAGAAGCACATTTGTGAGGTCAGGCACTGATGTTGGATGAGAAGGCCTGGCTCACAGTCTCCGCTCTAATTCATCCCAAAGGTGTTCTATCGGGTTGAGGTCAGGACTCTGTGCAGGCCAGTCAAGTTCCTCCACCCCAAACTTGCTCATCCATGTCTTTATGGACCTTGCTTTGTGCACTGGTGCTCAGTCATGTTGGAACAGGAAGGGGCCATCCCCAAACTGTTCTCACAAGTTAGGCGCATGAAATTGTCCAAACTGTCTTGATATGCTGACATCTTAAGAGTTCCCTTCACTGGAACTAAGAAGCCAAGCTCAACCCCTGAAATATGAGCCCATACCATAACCTCCCTCCACTAAACTTTACATTTGGCACAATGCAGTCAGGCAAGTACCGTTCTCCTGGCAACCGTCAAACCCAGGCATATCCATTGGATTGCCAGACAAAGAAGCATGGTTCCTCACTCCAGAGAACACATCTCCACTGCTGTAGAGTCCAGTGGCAGCATCCGTCGCTTTGCATTTCACTTGGTGATATAAGGTTTGGATACAGCTGCTCAGCCATGGAAACCCATTCCATGAAGCTCTCTACGCACTGTTGTTGTACTAATCTGCAAACCACACAGAGTTTGGAGGTCTTAATTATTGACAGTTGCTGACTTCTGTGCACTGTGTGCTTCAGCAAGCTCTGACCCCACTCTGTCATTTTACGTGGCCTACCACTCAGTGGCTGAGTTGCTGTTGTTCCCAGTTTCTTCCACTTTGTTGTAATACCACTAACAGTTGATGTGGAATATTTAGTAGCAAGGAAATGTCATGGATGGACTTATTGCACAGGTGGCAACCTATCACGGTACCACGCTTGAATTTACTGAGCTCCTGAGAGCAACCCATCTTTTCACAAATGTTTGTAGAAGCATTCTGCATGCCTAGGTGCTTGATTTTATACACCTGTAGCCATGGAGGTGTTTGGAACACCTAAATCCAATGATTTGGAGGGGTGTTCCAAAACTTTTGGCAATATAGTGTATCTACTGCTCCATGCGTAATATGTATAGATTGTGTGTATGTATGTACTGCACCTCCTGTGTTATTATAAATTGTATGTATGTATGTATGTACTGTACCACGTGTGATATTATAGATTGTTTTAGCTGATAGCACACTGCACTATGATATTGTATATTGTACTGACAAATGTATGTACTACCACATGTGATATTACACATCTCTCTTCTCTGCATCTTAGTGCGGGAGTTGGCAGGACTGGAACCTTCATTTCTCTGGACCGGTTAATGCAGCACATCCGGGATCATGAATATGTCGATGTTCTGGGTTTAGTGGCAGAACTCCGCTCATACAGGATGTGCATGGTGCAAACAGAGGTTTGTATATAATATAGATAGATAGATAGATAGATAGATAGATAGATAGATAGATATTCTCTGTGTGAGAATAGATGCTGAGATACACTTGGTGTGGAGGAATTTTGGTAACTTTGTGCGTAGGAGGGGTATGATGATATCCTGTGTGTTGGAGGGTCTATAGTTAAATTCTCTGTGGGGCACAGGCTATAGTGATATCCATTGTGTGGGAGGGGCTGTGATAATATCATCTGTGTGGGAGGGGCTGCAGTGAGATCCCCCGTGTGGGAGGTGCTGCTCCAATATTCTCACTGTGGGAGTGTCTGCTGCTATGATCTTTGCACACCAATTGGTGGAATTGTTCCCTGACTGTTTAGCTACATCAGTTCCCTTCTCTTCATCTTTTTTTTTAGGAACAGTTTATTTTCATCCATCAGTGTGTTCAGCTAATGTGGAAAAAGAAAAAGCAGCAGTTTCGGATCAGTGATGTCATCTATGAAAATGTCAGCAAGTCGTAGAGGAGATGTTCTTGTGAGTGTTCCTATATTTGTTCTTAATTCTCACTACATGGGATTAATGTCTGACCCATTGTATCCTTCAGAGATCCATTGTCTATGGCAGCCATTGTCAACCAGGGCTCCTCCAGGGATTGCTAGTAGGTTCCTAGAGCAGTGGCAGCCGGACCACTAATGTTAAGGGCAGAATTTTTCCACTGAGTTCCAATATAAGGGTTTACTTCTACATGGAACGCCAATGAAGGGAGCACTTTTCTATTGATACCCAATCTAAGTGTGAACATTCTCCACTATATACTCAATATAAGGGGCTCTTCTTCTGCTGACCAGAAATATAAAGAGGCATTTCTCCACTGACTACCAATATATGAGGGCATTTCTCCATTGACCACCAACATTTCTCCATTGACAACCAACAACATAATTTAGAATCATTTCTGTAACTTCTCTGAACTCCCCCTATCTGATCACTGGAACAACAAAATTCCAATCTAAATGTCTATTTTTACTTGACTTGAGCCATGTTTACATGATGCTGCAGCCCCAAATCTTCTCCCCTTCTGTTTGCTTCCTGTTTGGATCCTTCTTCGAGTGTCTGCATCAGTGCCTGCATGATGTGGTCACATCCTACAGGATGTCCAGTGGGACCGGCGATCATGGGCTCTATTCACATTTGATTTTACCCCTGCACCCGAAACCAGTTTAAGCAGGGACCTAGGGGTGCTTAGGTGAGTATATCTGGCTTCACAAGGTAGGGGGGAAAAATGGCTAGTAGAATGGGTTGAGGACAAAAAACTTTAGTCCAGAATCGGGTTTTAATATTATTATTATTGTTTGCATTTCAGCATTATCACCGATATTAATTTTTTTTCCATATAGAGCAAGTGGGTGACCCATTGTGGTTTATTTACTAAACCTGGAGAGTGCAACATTCAGTGCAGCTGTGCATGGTAGCCAATCGGCTTCTAATTTCCGCTTGTCAGTTAAGCTTTAGAAAAACAACCTGGAAGCTGATTGGTTTATGTGCAGAGCTGCACCAGATTTTGCACTCTCCAGTTTTAGTAAATCAACCCCACTAAGTCAAATATACTACATATGCCGCATCTTTATTGTTTTCTTTAAAACTTTCTGAAACTTACTGATTTTGCTAATAGATCTTGAGCTGCATATACAGTATAATCATTTTCAGCAGGTTCCTTGAGACCTAAACATATTTTACAATGCTTCCTCTGGGGTAAAAGGTTGAGAAAAGCTGGTCAATGTTTTGGAACCTCTTACATGACAGTAGAAACCCCTTACTGATAGATTTGAGCAGAGTGACATGATGGGGCCTGGTTCCATATTAAACCCAGCTTTTCGTACCTATGACCTCCTTATTGGCCACTCTCAATTGCTGCCCTTTTCATACTTCTGTATGTGAATATTCCCATGTGTCATTGCATTAGTGTGCAGAGAAAGTGAAAATGATAAGATATATTTATTTTCAACAAACATTCTGGCCCAGTTCACATCTCGCGATTCAGGATCTGGCAGAATTGCTGTGATTCTACTTGTGATTCCAAATGGTGATCACTGCACAACGCAGGTTTGGTTGATATTATCCCTTAATAGCACCCCAAACATGAGGAATTTCTGCACCGTACCTTTCCAAAAGTGTGTGAAGCTTATCACTGAAAAGGAGCAGGAGCTTCTTTTCAGCCGAAAAATGCACATAGGGCAGCTCATTCAAGTGAATGGGCTGCCCTATGCGACACACAAAATCGCGCGACAGTCACCCATCAAAACAAACGTTCTCACTATATGAAAGTGTGAATGCAGCCCTAAAGAGCAAATTGCAGTCAACCATAGTGACCGATTCAAAATCACTTTCTTGAATTCAAATTCATTACTGATGGAATCTTGTTTGGTTGTTTATGGTTCTGTGTTTAGTGCTTGTTTTTTTTTCATAGTTATATTTAATAGGATTGAAGATATATTGACATTAGCAACAAGATGCAACATCATATGTAATGCTATAGGAGGTGAACTGGAACTTTTAGTCTGACTGTGCTTAATCTGTTAAGGACATTATTGTGATTTGGCACTGTAGGAAGAAAGTAAATGAGGTTATTTTGTTGCCTCTCCTGTGGAATAAATTGAATCTTCACCATGCTGTGGTATTGCCTAATGAATGAATCCTTAACAATAAATCTGGAGATACCTGAGATTCTTAGGCTCCATGTACATGGGATACTTGCGAACAATGGAAACTGACTGCTGGAAAACGTAGGTTAAAAAACGTATGTTTAGCCATGTTTGCATACTGCGTTTGAGCGTTTGCGTTTAGAATCGTTTTTTAAAAATAACCTCAGGAGACCTTCCAAAAAGCCCAGAATGCCCTGAAAAACAGTAAAAAATTAACTATTTCAGACATTTTGAGAGAAATAGAGCAGAAGCAGAGATAGCAGTATTTGTTGAGATTAGCTGTCTTTCTTTGTGGTGTTTTGATGTGTTCCAGCTCATTTCTGTGCAGAAATTATTGCAGCAGTGTCTAACGTATTTTCTTTCATGCGAAATCTCAAAGTATGGTGTACCAGGTCCATTTAAAGCACCAGGAAAACGCTTTGCATGCATTTTTCATGATGAAAAAAGGCTCTGGACAGCATCTGGAAATGAAGGAGTTAAAACAAATTTCCAAACGCAAACACTTATAAACTTGGTTAGTAGCGTTTACAAGCATTTGGCGTTTGTAAAGCATTTGACGATAAAATCTACTCCTGAGCGCAAGTTTGCTGCGTTCAAAAATCTACTGTAAACTCAACTGACTGTAAACGACGGTGTGTACATGGACACATAGGAAAACATTAGGGAGAGCTCAGGGGCTGCGGAAAAAAAAGCGCTGAACAGCTCCTAAACGTGAGTTTATCAGCTGCAGTGTACATGGAGCCTTAGAATTGCACTGACTAATGTGAAGATGACACATAAGATGACAAGATGAATTGCTGAATTGAATTGCTGTGTCTTAGACTTGGTTCTTCATGGTATTATAATCTTTGAATGTAGACTGACTCTTCTGTATAGCTATATGTGGAGTGCACATTGTACCTTTATCTGGCATTGTTGCTCTCTCCAGCCTCAGACTAACACAAATCTGCTGAACTTGTTGTGCAGGTGACAAGCGTACAATCAGCCATCTTGCCTAGTTCCAGACTTTCTTTTCTGACTCGTCCAGAAACCAGAATTGCAGCCTGACACGAGGCTGCCAGTAAAGACTCAGCCTTAAAACCTGATGTGTCTTTTGGACATTTCTTCCATGAACTTTTCTATTTAGAACTGGACCAAATGTAACCACAAGGAATGGAGGATGCTGGACAAGGACGGGATGGAATGGATGTTGCTGGAAAGGCTGTCTATGAAATAAAGTGAGTTTGGCAGTCAATACCTCATTATACACAAGGAAGAAATAATGGCGATAAACTTCTAGCTATCATCTATGATCCCATCAGGCTGGAAGCCTCTTCCACCTGTTGCTCTAAATAAAGCCAAGTTCGTTTTGTTTCATGTTCGGAGCGTTGGACATCTGTGTAATGGGTGATGTGCACTGTGCAGCTCTAGTCATCAGATTGTGTTCGGTGACCAGTATTGGGGGGAGGGTGAAAATCCCAGGATCACAGACACCTCACTGTCTTGTACTTTGTGTCACCGCATTCATTTATTCAGACAGGATCTAGTTGTTGAGTGTAAAAACTGTTCAAAACAGAAAATGAATTTCTATGATGTTGTGGGGATGGGAACAGGCAAATTGCACATTAAATCAGTGACAGACAATATTTAAATGAAGCCGTTCTGCTAGTTTCTTTGGGTGTGACGACAGATTCTATTTACAGCACATACAGGGGCTTCTATTAAACTCTGCAATCACATTTCAAGTGTGTAGTTTGTAAATGGTGTCTTTTCTTAATGGATTCATGACTGATTTCTCCTTTCTGCCTGCAGACTCGAATCATTCGTTATATTCTTAGACAGATTTTGTTATATTCTTAGACAGATTTTGTTATATTCTTAGACAGATCTCCACCTTTGCTGAGAAGGCAAATGTTTTCTTGTCTTTTTTTTTTCTTGATGGGTGAAATTTATGACTTGCCATCAAAAACTGATGCATGGTAAGAAAGTGAAAAATAGCCAACTGTGAAAGAATAAATTCAGCCAACGGCCGTTTTCACGAACAGAAATTTCAATATTAACTATGGTTGATACATATGCTTTTTGTTATATATCCACTGGGACACTTGTGTACTGAACGCTCCCTCATTCCAGGCCAGTCTGATTTATAGGTTTCCCTTCCTGATGATCACAACTGGAGCTCCTTAAGGATAGAAGCTGAGAGACACAGCAATATTTACAGCAAATACAGGGTACAGGGCAAATGTGAAAAAAGTTCAAGCAGCTATCTGTCCGAGTCCCTACTCCTCATCATATGATCACCTAAAAATTGTAAAGCACACCTTGTGATTGCGGTTTATAACAAAGGACTTAGAGCTGTTGGTTGGGATCCCCAATGTTGGTGTGCCATTGTCCTCAGACTTTATTACAAATGAATAGAGACCTTTAAAGTCTCATGAGAAGATTTTGGATGTGAATTTAGGGTCCTGACAAAGTAGCACACCTTTCTTTAATAAATTGATTTTAATGTACTAGGTGATAGGGTTGTAGAAACAGCTTGCAGCTGTAGCCAGATCCCTAGATATGAAGGTCTTAAGCTGGCTGCACACTTCAATTTTCAAAGTAATGTTCCTATAAAAATTCTCAATACATTTGATGACTTAACAAATGTAGTTTAAAAGTATTTTAAAACGTAATTTGCTTTTAACATTCAACATTGGAACAACCGTGACTTTCCCAAATGAAAACCACATACAGTGAAGGAAATAAGTATTTGTCCCCCTGCTGATTTTGAATGTTTGCCGATTCACAAAGAAATGATCAGTCTAAAAATCGAATGTTCGGTGTATTGTAACACTGAG